GGCTTAACGGTCTTCTGGTAGATTATTTCAGTTATTTCATGATCTGTGTAGAGAAATGTATCTCCATTATACTCCTTTATATAGGGGCTTATGCCACATATTGAGTGCAAATCCAAGGAATATGCATATCAGTAATATATGGTCATTGTGAATATACACAGTGTTTGTTTTAGCTTAAACATTCCAACATTTTCTCCCCAGTTGTGAATTTTTCTATGTTTCTCACAATTTACATGTGGAATGAATGAGAAATTCACTCTGCAGTTTCCTCTGGAATACATTTTTGCATTTTGTATTCACTGGGTCTCATTCCTGATCACACTAAAGTTTCCATACACTGGTTGTAACTATAATTTGCACTCTCCCATATTCATAGATTCCAAGGCTGGAGGGACAGTTGTGGTCATCGAGTCTGACCTCCTGGACAACATAGAACTTCCCGAGAATAACCCCTTTTGAATTAGAGCAGGACTTAAAACAACCTTGATTTTAAAATTACCAATGATGGAGAATCCACATCAACCCTTGGTAAATTTTTCCAATGGTTAATTATTCTCACGTTTAAAAATTTACATTTTTTCCCTTCTGAATTTGTCTAGCTTCAACTTCTAGCTATTGGGTCTTGTAATACTTTTGTCTGCTAGATTAAAGAAACTATTATCAAATATTTGTTCCTAAGGCAGGTCCTTACAGATTGTTATCAAGTCACTCCTTAACCTGCTGATTGTTAAGGTAAATAGATTGAGGTCCTTGAAAGCATCCTATAATGCATGTTTTTAAATCTTGTAATCATTCTCTGGGCTCTTCTCTGAACCCTCTCCCATTTATCAACATCCTTCTTGAATTGTGGACACCAGAACTGGACACAATATTCCAGCAGCGGCCCTGTACAGAGGTAAAATAACCTGAGTATGCCTCCCAGAGGAGGCCACTCAGTTGAGTTCAAACAAAGCAGCTTCAGTGGGAGAAGAGGAGGAGGAGAAGTTCCTCCTCCCTAATTTTTAGCCCATTCGTTAGGGTCCTCACATCGATGTGGAAGACAAACTGTTTCACTGTGGATAAAGAGTCATTTGGGTAGAGGATCTGGACCCTGTGTCTCCCACATCCTGGGTGAGTGCACTAAACCAATGGGTATAGAATCACTCTTGTGTGCTCTCTCTCTTCCTCCCTTTTGTCCACTTTCATTGTATAGGATTCTGGGGGACTAATTCAGGTTTTGTGATTTCCTAACCACCTGTAGGAGCATCAACATATCTAACTCCATTTGTGTATCCAGGCTTTAACTTTTTAAGTTTTAGTTTTTCAGTTCCGTTAACTTTAGTGAGACTGCTCGCAAGCACTGAAGAACTTAAGCGTTTTCCTGATTTGGGGCCTTAGTTCTTAATATTTTCATTTCAAGCTTGCAAGAAGTTGTTGTAAATGGGAAATAACTACCAAGAAAAATTCATAGAATTCCCATTCCAATACCCTTTTTATCAATTCCTATCCCCTCGCCCATCCATATTTATCGATGTTAATGAACAACTTTAAAGGGTTCCATTAAGCAGGCAACATTATTAGAATAGAAAACTCCTATATGTTCTATTTCTTCTTTCTTTTATATTCATATCTCCCTTGTTTCCTATGCCCTGGGAATTTCGACATTTTGCCACTTGAAGCCCAAATCATATCCATCTGTCCTAGGTAGCATGAAACATTCATTTTTGCTATCCTCAAAATACCTCAATTCTAAATGGATAAGCTCTCAAAAATGTTTAGTTTAAGTCTTCAATAGGATGACAACCCAGGAACCTGCTGGTTAAAATGGGTTTGGACTTATGGAGGAGAAAATTCTGCAACTACCCAAGAGGAAAACAATGCCCTTACTTGTCAATGCAGCTGTGGTAGGTGAAAGCGATGTTGTAGTTGTCATAGAGATGGCTGCTGTTGTCTCTCCTCTGATAGGGATGCCCAAAGCGGTTGTGGTCTCAGCTGGGGAAGTTGTAAAAAGGGCAGATGTGGTTGTTCCCTGTTGTGTAGTGGAGGTGTAAGTTGTTGCGGTCTCTGTAGGGGTAGTGGTGATTGGAGCCACTGTGCTTCTCTCTGCTGCTGTAGCAATGGGTGATGTGTTAGTAGTCTCTGCTAGAACAGTGGTGACAGAGGATGCTGTGGGTGTCCCCAGTTCTGTAGTGGTGCCCAAAGCTATTGGGATCTCAGATGGGGAATTGGTCTCCAGAGCAGATGTGGATGTTTTAGGACCTGCTGTGGTGGGAGACAGTGTCACTGTGGTCTCAGCCGGAGAAGTCACCGTAACAGCAACTGTGGATGACTCTGCTAAAGAGGAGGTTACTGCACTTGTCGTCGCAGTGGGATAAGTGACAAGAAGGGCAGCTGTGGGTGTCTCCACTTCTCTAGAGGTGCTGGGAATTCTTGTGGTCTCAGAGGGCAAACTTGTCTCAAGACGGACTGTGGATGTCAACGGTAAAACAGAAGTGACTCCAGTTGTGGTCTCAGTGAGGGAAGTGGCCACAGGAGCTGGTGTGGTGATAGCCAGAGTGGTGGTTGTTTCAACTGGGGAAGTACTTGGAAGGGCAACTGTGGTTTTCTCCTCAACTATACTGGTCTGTGGAACAGAAGAGGCAGCTGCTGCTGTGCTCTGAGGTAGTGTAGTAGCTGGAAGACTAATTGTGGTTCTTTCTTCTAAAGGTGTGCGACGAGTCATGGTTGTAGTTTGAACGGGAGAAGTAGTCTCTAAAAGAGAGCTGAATGACTGTCCGATAGTAGAGGTGGCGACAGATGTGCTCCCAGTTCTAGTGATGGTCAGAGGAGGAACGGTGGTAGTGGTAGTAGATAGCGCTGTAGTCTTTGCTGGAGAAGTGGTCTCTAGTGGAGCTGTGGAGGATTCTTGAATAGCAGAAGTGGCTAGAGCTGTGCTCCCAGCTTCTGAAGTTGTAAGAAGGGGAAGCGTGGTTGTCTCTTCACTTCTGGTGGTACTAATCATTGCTGTAGTTTCAGCTGAAGAAGTCGTTTGGAAAGGTGAGGTGGATCTTTCTGCTGTGGTAGAACTGGCTACAGCTGTGCTTTCAGCTTGTGAAGTTGCAGGGAGGGAAGGTTTGGATGTCCCTTCAGCTCCAGTGGTACTAGTTACTGTTGTCCTCTCTGTTGGGGTTGTGGTCTCTACAGGAGTTGTGGAGGTCTCAGTAAAAGTTGAAGTGGCTATAGCTGTGCTCCCAGGTCCTGAAGTTGTAAGAAGGGGAAGCGTGGTTGTCTCTTCACTTCTGGTGGTACTAATCATTGCTGTAGTTTCAGCTGAAGAAGTCGTTTGGAAAGGTGAGGTGGATCTTTCTGCTGTGGTAGAACTGGCTACAGGTGTGCTTTCAGCTTGTGAAGTTGCAGGGAGGGAAGGTGTGGATGTCACTTCAGCTCCAGTGGTACTAGTTACTGTTGTCCTCTCTGTTGGGGTTGTGGTCTCTACAGGAGTTGTGGAGGTCTCAGGAAAAGTTGAAGTGGCTATAGCTGTGCTCCCAGGTCCTGAAGTTGTAAGAAGGGGAAGCGTGGTTGTCTCTTCACTTCTAGTGCTACTAGTCATTGCTGTAGTTTTAGCTGAGGAAGACGTCTCTAGAGG